TAGCAAAGGAAAAGTTTCAGGAAGTAGACTGGGGTTACAGTGGCCCAACTGAGCTCCTCACTTAGGCCAGGAAAGCAAGACGATGGCTGACACCTGGAGTCTGCTGGTAACCTCTGACCTTCCAGGAGTCTCAGGGGACTCTGTACCCACTGAGCCCAAGTCCCAGGAAAAGTGCCCAGCTGCCTCACCAAGTTTACATGCAAAGCACAGGCCATCCTTCCATGGCCTCTTGGAGGTGGCCTTGGAAGTGAGATGGGATGGGGAAGTTCTGAACAATGTGCCTAGCGACTAGCTACAGGGAGAACCTGGCCCCAGACTGGAGCGACTGGCAGGCCTTGACATTCTCCACAAACTCCCCAAAGCCTCAAGGACCGGCCACGACCCAGCATCCTCCCATCCTCTAGGCTTCTCAGATCACTCCTGCACTTCAGAAGTTCTTGACTCCAGTCCCTCGCCACCCCCACACTCAGCCCTGTGTGCTAGCCTTGGTGGAATGACCTTTTTCCATAGGCTGTAGGGCCAGGAAAGCAGGTCCAAAGAGACTTTGACCAAGAAAAAGTTGGGAAAAAAACAAAAAACAAAACAAGAAGACCACAACTTCCTTCCTCTTACCCGGGCCTCAGAGAGCATGAGAGTTGGAGACCCTCAGTCCTGGGATGGCACACACACTACCTCTCTTCTCTACTGTATCTGTTCTAGACATTACTAATCAATTCCAGCTCTTTCCGGCTGAACCCAACAAGGTCTCCCATCCTTCCAAATAAGAAACTCCTAGTAGCTACCTATGGAGCTGACGCTCTAAATGAAAGCTGTTGGTCATCTCTAATCTAACTTATCCCAATCAATAGAAAAATGGAGGCCCCAGAAGCCAAGGGGTTTAATTCAAGGCCAGAAATTCATCACAGAACAGACAGCATTTTAGGAACTAGTTATTTTGTTATTTTTTTAAGAGAGATTTTTTTTGCTATAAGGAGTGTACACTTACCACAGAAACAGAAAGACAGACAGAAAGTGAGAAATCACCCTCCGGAGGAGATGGCCATGCCACAATTCCTTTCCTCTCAGGATCTTGGGCATGCATACACATGTGCCTGGCATGAATTTTAAGTAGCCAGGTCCAAGACTTAAACCAAGATTGACTTCATGGGAGTCCAGCATTGTAACCATTACACCATCTGTTGGTCCCAGGAATTGGTTTTTAAATAATCTGTGTGGAGGAGACAGTGCTTAGATTTTGTTTCCTCCACCAGCAGGTGGGCTCCTTGAAAGGGCCTGGGGAGACCAGCAGATGGTGTAATGGTTACAATGCTGGCCTCCCACATAGTCGACCACAGTTCAAGTCCCAGACACGGAGACTTAAAATTCACACTGGGCGTGTGTGTGTGCACGCCCAGACCCCAAAAGGAGAATAGAGGAGAAGGGACTGTGCAGTGGCCATCCTCTCTGGGGGGTGATTTTTCACTGGCTCCCTGTCTGTCTCTCTGGCAAGTGCACATGCTCTCTAGCAAAAATCTCTCTAAAAACAAAAAAAAAAGAAAAAAGAAAGAAAAGAAAGAAAAAGGAAAGGGCCTGGACCCAGCTCGGCTTCTGACCCCAATGTTCTGCGTACTAGCACACGATAGTATGACTGTTTCTTGGCTCCGTGAGGAAGGAATGGAGTCCCTGAGTTAGGGGGAAGGCTGGGTATTAGCTCCGAAAGTCAGGAGAGGCTTTAGGAGTCGTTCAGAGACACCACCTTCTCAGAATGATGCACATGCTTAGAACTCTGACAGAGCCACGCTCAACCTAAACATGAGGGCGGTGAAGAAATGCCAGTGTGGATTAGAAATGTTTCTACAGGGGCCAAACGGTGGTATAGCAGTAAAACATGACACTCTGCAAGACTGACCCACATGAGGAGGTCCTGGGTTCACATCTGGAGACCTCCTTGAGTATGCCAGGTACATACATGCCCATGATCTGGAGCTGCCTGCAGCTGCAAGGGGATCAGGTGGCACCAAGACCCTATTAGGGGTGCTGTCTCTCTATCTCCATGTCATTCTTTCTGTCTTTCTCATTCATTGAAGAAATAAGTAAATTTTTTTTTTTTAAAGTTGGGGGGGGGGGATGGCCAGCTCTGTGGTGCAGCAGTAATGCACTGGTCAAGGGAAGGCAGATCCCAAGGTCAGCAGATGGCATAGTGGTTACATTGCTGGACTCCTACATGGCTGACCATGGTTCAAGTCCCAGACCCAAGGGCTTGAAACTTATGCTGTGTGTGTGTGTGTGTGTGTGTGTGTGTGTATGTGTGTGTGTTTGTGTGTGTGTGTGTGTGCATACATGCCCAAGATCCCAGGAGGGTTTGGAGGAGAAGGGGCTGTGGGGTGATCATCCCCCCCAGGATGCCCCATCCAGGGACTAAACTGTCAAACAGCAAAAACTAAAAGAGCTTCAAGTGGGGCCGGCAGGTGACATGGTAGTTAGGGGTGCTGGACTCCTACATGGCTGACCACGGTCCAAATCACCGAATCTGGCAGCTTGCTTTCTCACTTTCTCTCTCTCTCACCCTGTCACTCTGTCTCTCTCTGGTCAAATTAAAAAAGTAAATAAAGTTAAATAAGATAATTATTTAAAAAAAAAAAAGAGCTTCAAGTCAATTAAAATATGATCACCAACCCCCTACCCCCATCTGCAGTTTTGCTTCCCATGGCTTCAGCTATCCACAGTCAACTATGATTAGAAAACAGGTTAAGTATGGTAAATACCATAAGATTTTTTTTTGGGGGGGGGGAGAGGTTTTATTGTTTTTTGTTTTTTGTTTTTTACTATAGGGCATGTGCACTAGCCAGACAGACAAAGAGAGATAGACAGAAAGCGAGAAATCACCCCCCGGGGGGATGGCCACACCACAATCCCTTCTCCTCCATTCTCCTCTCGAGATCTTGGGCACGCATATACACACACCTGGCGTGAGTTTTAAGCCACCGGGTCCAGGACGTGAACAGCGGTCGACTACGTGGGAGTCCAGCAACATAGCCATTATACTAACTGCTGGTCCCACCATAAGATATTTTGAGAGAAAGAGAAAAAATAACATTCATTGTTTTGTTTTATTTTGTTTTGTTTGTGTTGCCAGAGAGCAGGAGTGCTTACCAGGGGTATAGAGAGGGGGAAAAAAAGTGAGAAGTCACCCTCCCCGCCAAGGGGAGTGGTCACACCACAATCCCTTCTCCTCCATCTCTCCCTCCTTTCAGAATTTTGGATATGTGTGTGCACACACACCCAGTGTGGCTTTCAAGCCTCCAGGTCTGAGACTCATACCACATGGTCAGCCATGTGGGATTCAGCTACCCCGACCACCAGGCCTTGGGCTGGCCTCATATTCACTCATTTTTTTTAAGAATTATTTTATATAACTTTATTTATTTTAACTTGATCACAGAGAGACAGAGAGAGAGAAAGTGAAAAAGCAAGCTGCCAGGTCTGAGACTCGAACCACAGTCAGCCATGGAGGAGTCCAGTGCCCTTAACTACCATGTCACCTGCCAGCCCTGACATTCATATTTTATTACAGTATATATAACTTTGTGACAGCATATTGCCATAATTGTTCTGGTCTATTATTAGTTATTACTGCTAATCTCTTACTGTGCCTAATTTATAAGTTAAACTTCATCACAGGTATGTTTATATAGGACCACACACAGTGTGTGTAGAGTTCAGTACCATCTGCACTTTGAGGCATCCACTGGGGTCTTAGAAGGTATTCCCCCAGATAAGGAGGGACTGTTGTATGACATTTCAATGAATGTCAACGGTTTTAAACTGGCTGTAAATATCAAAGCAATGAGGCACCTGGGGGAAAGTCTCTCATATCCATGTGCTATGTGTGAGCCTGTTCTTTACTTTGCTGTTAAACTATGATCGCTATACTTAAGTGTTTAGGGACCAATTTTCCAAAGTCAGCTGTTTTTAAACACAAACGAAAAGTGTATCCATGGCATTTAAATAGATACACATACGATGTAAGAATAAAATTAAATTAAATGAGAGTTGCGGTGTGAGACCACAAGAATTACAAAGATCACCCAGGGGACCCCAGCCTGTTTGCTTCAGTGTCTTGGAGACCCCTTTGGGGAAATCAAAGTGGGGACTTGGCTCAGCAGCTTCCCTGGCCATGGCATTCTCCAACAGCGCCAGCCACCTCCCTGTGCCTGTTCTGGGCCATGAGCCAAAGACACATTCCTCAGGCTCCCACGGGCTTCCGGAGCCAACAGAGTGGTTTTTGAGGAAAGGCTGAGCCAAGCAGAAACCTCCTAAGAGAGGTAGCAAAAGGCAGATATGGGATGACCATGGCAGAAGGCCTATAAGAACTGATGGGGAAACTGAGGCCCAGAGAAGGCAAGGGTCTCACCCAATACTACACAGTGAGGAGCTAGTAGAAAAAGCCATTCAACCAAAGTTCACCCCCAAAACTCCTCTCTGATACTTGCTGGAGGGATTTCAAGTTCTGCTACATAAAGGCCACGTCCTCTCCCAAAGGAGGCTGGGTCTCAAGGTTTCAGGGCCCCTGACGGCAGAAGAGTCTGAAGCTGAGACTCTTCCAGGCCCTACAGGAAAGAATATTACCTGCTCCTTCCCCAGACCCTAACCCTCCCTTTCACTAAGTCACTCGCTGGGTGACACATCCCACCAGGTACCTTTTGTCCTGTTCACAAGAGCCCAGAAAGGCTCTCCATTTTATAGATAAGGAAACTAGGACCCCAGAGATCTGAAAGGACTTCTCTGAGGCCACACAGCTAGTGAGTAGAATCGAGGAAATGCAAACCCAAACCAGTCTGCTGGGCTCTGCTGGCTCCCCCTCTACCAGGCATACTGTCTCCAGGCAGAACCCCAAGCACTATTTGTATTTTTAGTCCTGCCCACTTCCTAGCACCTAGTACCCCACTAAACCTGGGGGAAGAAGGGAAGAAGTTAAACACCCCCCCCAGCCCTCTGGGCCCTGGGCCCCCAGTGCTTACCCTCCAGCACCACCTCTTTGCCTGTCTTCTTGAGAGCCTGCACTGCCTCGTCATGAGTGGCGGAGGACAAGTCTTCTCCGTTCACAGACAGGATGGCATCCCCCACGAAGAGGGCCTCTGTCTGGTCAGCTGCCAGGCCCTTGAAGATCTTGGAAATGAGAATAGGCATCTTGTTCTCCCGGCCCCCTGCACAGGCACAGAATGAGAAGAAACTGAGGCAGACATTCCCACACTTGGAAGTCAAATCAAGACAAAATTATTTCTGAAGTCCTCCCTGGGTGCCTCGTCAGTGCTAGGGAAGGAGAATGGGAGAGAAAAGAGAATCTCAGGGGCCTGGCAGGTAGAATGGTGGTTAAGGGCACAGGACTCCCATATGGCCAACTGCAGTTCGAGTCCCAGACCTGGCAGCTTGCTTTCTCATTTTCTCTCTCTGTCTCTCTCTCTGGCCCTCTCTGATCAAATTAAAACAAATAAATTAATAAAGCTAAATAAATTAATTCTTTTTTTTTTTTTTTAAAGAAGAATCTCAGGAAAGCCTTAGAAGCTGGGGTCATTCGTTGGGACCAGCAGATAGCATAATGGTTACGTTGTACTCCCACAGAGTCACCCACAGTTTGAGTCTTGGACCTGGCAGCTTAAAACTCACACCAGTCAAGACCAGCGGATGCCACAATGGTTATGTCACTGGACTCCCATGTAGTCGACCTCAGTTCCCAGGCCCGACACCTTAAAATTCAGATTGGGCACAGGGCCAGCAGGTGGCGTGGTAGTTAAGGTGCTGGACATTCCTATACGGCCGAACAGGGTTCAAGTTCGGGACCTAGTAGGTTGCTTTCTCACTTCCCTTCTCTCTGTGTGTATATCTCTGGTCAAATTAAAATATATGAATGGATAAATAAATAATTCTTTAAAAAAAAAAAAAGCTGGGCACATGTGTGTCCATGCCCAAGATCCCAGATTGCAGCATGGCCATCCCCCCAGGGGGTCATTTCTTGCTTTCTGTCTCTCTGTCTCTCTGTGTCTCTCCAGCGAGCGCACATGCCCTATAGCAAAAACCTCTCTCTAAAAAAAAAAAGTTGGGGTCATTCATAATACCAATAAGTCACTGTCTAAATTCATAATGCTATAGTTTTGTCTTTTGGATCTTTTGGTTCAATGATTTGCATATTTTCCAGTGTCTGAGTAACATAAAGTGCTTCATTAAAATTTTTTTCTTAGATATTTTAGATTTTAAGAAATTTTCCCACACTGTGGAAACCTACTGATACCCCTAAAGCTGCATTAAGATAGAAGTCAGCGGGACCATCAGGTGTTAAGGCACTGGACTCTCACATGTCCAACTGCAGTTCTAGTCCCAGACCTGGTGGCTTGAAACTTACACTGGGCATGTTTGCATCCATGCCCAAAATCCAGAGAGGAGAACGGATTGCAGTGTGGCCATTCCCCGAAGAGGAAGTGATTTCTCACTTTCTGTCTCTGTGTCTCTGTCTGTCTCTCCAGCAAGCACATGTGCCCAATGCCAAAAATCTCTCAAAAAAAAAAGAAAAAAGGGAACAAGCAGTTAGCATAATGGCTATGTCACTGGACACCCACGTAGTCGACCGCGGTTCGTGTCCTGGACCCAGTGGCTTAAAACTCATGCCGGGCGCGTGTGCGTGCGTGCCCAAGATCCCGAGCGGAGAATGGAGGAGAAGGGATTGCGGCGTGACCATCCCCCCTGGGGGGTGATTTCTCGCTTTCTGTCTCTATGTCTCTCTCTGTCTGGCGAGCGCACGCGCCCTACAGTGAAAATCTCTCCAAAAAAAAAAAAAAGAAAAAAGAAAAAAAGAGATAGAGGTCAGCTATTGGTATGGTCCTAAAGGAATTATAAGCAATTATAAGATTTTATAATCCAACATTTAGGCTGAAAACCAAGGCCTTCCAATTCTAAGGATTTCAAAAACCTATCTGAATTGCATCTCTAATGCACAAGGACCTAATACATTTTACCGAATTGCTTTATTGTTAAACCTTTAAATGCCCTTTCAAAATAAGAAAGGTTAATAACCCTTCACACTAGTTCCATGTATCAAGTGCCAAGCAAGGTGTGAAATGCTTTCACATTATCTCATTGCATCTTCACAACGCCCTATCACACAGGCATGCTGCCCTATCACAGGCATGCCGTTTCCTACTGGGAAAACTGAAGTGTGGAGAGGAGTCTCTCCAGTCACCCATCTAGTAAGTGACAAAGCCAGTATTTGAACCTAAGTTTCCTGGTTCCAGAACAAACTTTTTTTTAATTTTTTTTTTTAGTTTTTGCTGTGGAGTGCATGCACTCTCCAGAGAGAAAGTGAAAAAGCACCCTTCCCCCAGGGACGGCCATGCCACAATTCCTTCTCCTCCATTCTCCTCTTGGGATTTGGGCCATGTATGCACACACCCAGCATGCAAGCTGCCCAGTCCTGAATTTGAAACTGTGAAACGAATCACATAGGATCCCAGCACTTTAACCTCCTCGCCACCTGCTGGCCTCTTAACCCTATGTAGACTTCAAGAAGTCAGGCCCTCAGATATGACACTCCTGGTGCATTCCTAGAGTATTAATCCCAGGCCCACGGGAACCAGCAGTTAGCGTAATGGCTATGTCGCTGGACTCCCACGCAGTCGACCGCAGTTCGCGTCCCGGATCTGGTGGTTTAAACTCACGCCGGGCGCATGCGCGTGCATGCCCAAGATCCTGAGAGGAGAAGGGAGGAGAAGGGATTGTGGCATGGCCATCCCCCTGGGGGGGAGGGGGATTTCTCGCTTTCTGTCTCTCTGTCTCTGTCTGTCTGGCGAGCGCTCGCGCCCTATAGCAAAAATCTCTCCAAAAAAAAAAAAAAAAAACCAGGCCCAGAGTGGAAGGTCATTGCTCCAAGGTCACAAACAAGTTGGTGGTGGAGCTGGGACTGGAACTTCTCCTGATCCCCACATAAGTCCTGCAGTTTGCACACAGTCTGAGGTCTAGGAGAGGAAGAGGATTCTATTTCTATCTACCCACCCCTACCTGAAACTAGGATCTGCAGTTCAGTTCCAGGCTGTGATCACTCATGGCCGCCTTGGACTCAGCTGGACCCTAGAAGGGAGGTTACCATGGCAACCAGAGCCCAGTCTTTATTCCACAAGGAACTGGATAGAGCTCTCACTCCCCCTGAATCCTTCTCATGTACCATCACTCCAACCTGGAAATATGGAGCTAAGGAGTAACTTTGCATGAACTTAGAAAGCTCCTTCTTCTCCATGAGTGTCAGTTTCTTCATCTGCAAAATGTAACTCTACCTGAACTCTAATTTCCCTCCTGTCTGACATGAGTATACAATTTTTGGATTGGTCTGTTACTCTATCCCATGCTAGAGTTTGGGAGCAAAAGTGGTCCCCACTCCCTGGTTTGTTCGTTTCCCTCTTTTATACTCTCTTGGTTGGCTGCCTAAGGATTTGCCCCTACATCTCTCCTGGGCACCATCCAGGAGAATAGTGTCCTAATAACATACAAATCCCAGCACTGCCACTGACTGTGTGATCCTGGGAAAATTGTGCTTTTCTGAGTCTGTTTCTTCACCTACAAAATGGGGATTATACTTCCTACCTTTCACCACCTGTTGCCAGGATGAAGTGGACCATGAGCCTAATGCAGTGGGCCAGTACCTATCACACAGTGGTGGTATCACCTCCATCCCAGCCCCCTCATCCAGACTAGTGGGTCTGGAATACCAGTGACAAAGACTGCATCAGGAAGACAGGAGGAGGTGATGCAAGGGTTGACACCCTCTCCCAAGGCACTCTGCTGGGGACTGGGACCCTGAGATGCAAGTGGGCAGAAATGATGAACCCAGCAGTCAGGGCTTTGCAAGGATTGTAAATGCTATGGCTAGCTGCTTTGGAAGCATCTCTGGCCTCCATTTTCCCTCTTATCTAATAGCAATAATTAACCCAGCACCTACTATACACTAGCAGAGTGAGCCTTGCTCTTATAGAATCATCACATTTCTATCACCCTGTTGTTATACAGTTGTAGAAACAAGTTCAGAGATGGGAAGTGACTTGTCCAAGTTCACAGTTGATCCAGGATTCAAAGAGTCTGGGAAGGCAGAGAGCTCTTAGAAAGAAATGGTAACCCAGCCCATCCCTCTCCATCTAGTGAAGGTGGAGATGGTCAGATCAGGAGACCCAAACTCAGCTCAGAGCCCCCTGCCCAGGTAGATAGCCCGCTGGGTCCTCAGATTTCAGGTCGTTGCTGGTCTCTTCTCCCGGATCCACCCACTGCTCCCATCCACCCCTAAGCTTCCCAGACTCCAGGCCTCGCCCCCCGACCTTGGTTGTGACTCAGTGACCTCCTCTCCCCTTTCCTAAGAGTGCCTCAGGCCTCAACCCCTTCCTCCACCCTCTCCTTCTGGGGACCCCCTCATCCTTCTCAGGCCCTTACGACCATACACAGAACTCCTCACATACGTGTCCTTGATGTGTCCCCAAGCCATTTCACACCTGCGCCCTCTGTGTCCCCCTGAAACCTTTAACTCCGATCCCCACTCCGACCTTGGTGTTCCCTGTACCCCTGGTACTCGGTCTCCTCTAGTCTCCCTTACCCCAGCAAAGGCCTCCAACTCCATGCCCTCGGGAGCTACCAGCCCCAGTCCCCGCGCCCCTGAAGGCCCCACAGACACCACGACCCGGTGCCCTCGAAGCCCTGCGCCCACCTTTGATGCTGATGCCCAGCCCGCCCGCGTCGGCCTTGCGCACCGTCACGCGGCGCCGCTGGAGCAGCAGTGCCTCAGGCAGCTGCGGGGGCGCCGCGCCTGGCT